TCGGCCATCACTTGGGCCGCCGCCGAGTATATAATGTACTTATTAATTATCTTAGGATGGGGTGCCTACCACGAAACTTGGAAACTTTAAGTTTAAATAGCCCAAAGCCTTCTACTGGCGTCGCGTCGTTGGGTTAAGTTATAACAGCTGCATAACACGCACTACTTGCAAATTCTAACGGATGCTAATTCAAATTTAATTTACATCATGTTAGGCTACCAAGGCTTACCTAACCCAAAGCAATAAACATAAATTCGCAAATTTACTACCTCAGCGCCGCGTTCAATCATAACTATTTCAATACAACCCCTTTCCGCGTTTATGTCATTCGCGCTTTATATTAGTGTATTAATGTATTTAATTAATGAGCGGAGCGAAGGAGATGTGCCCATTAAAACGGAAAATATGATCGCATTATTATGGAAATAAAAGGGCGGCATTCTAATTAATGGTAAAAATCATCGTCATTTGAGAACAGCAACCACCCTATCGTACATACACGAATCCAATTCCGTTATTAATTAAATAAAAACACATGTACGGAATTTCCGAAATTCAGGCGCATTATTTAGCCAAACCCAATTATTCTCGTGTCAATTACTCATTTGGATTTATCGAATTTCATGTATACTGCAATCATCCGTAAGTATGAAACTTTTCCCCTTAAAAGTTAGTGAGTTTTAAGATTTGGTCAAGGGTTTAGCTTATTTAGATGGTGTCCAAGTCTACCCTTCGAGCAACTGGAATGTGGAATGCAACCAAAGGTAAATGTCTCTGGTTACAATCTCCTACTGAAATGCACGGTTTTGCGTAATTCACTGGGCGAGTTCATTTCGAAGCGTAATAAAAGGCACTTCAAAGTAAATCCGGCAGGTACTTAATCATGCGTGTTTCAGCGTTTACAGTCAAAATTTACTAGTGGGAAATCTTTTCGATTATCGACATTATCGTTATTTATAAACGCATTTACTATCGCCCACGGAAATCCGTTATGCACGATTTGTATAAAGATCGTGCAGATTTTTCTCCTGAGGAAGATAGAAAGAATGTTAAAAAGAACAGTGTTACGCCATCGTGTAAGATCAATGCTATCGATGTTATTTCATAGTTTTTTGTTTTACCGCTAGAGGTCACGCACAGTACCATTTTATTTAAAAATAAGTCCCTACCTGTGGCTGAACCCTTGCGCAAAGACGAATTGGTGCTTGCTCATTCTTCGTTTTTGACTTGCAAATAATTATTTTTACTCGACATTTTTGTCTGCCTTTGAAAGTGGATTTATTGTCTGTGTTTGGAAGTATATTTGAAGTTTGAAGTACAACATTGATGTTTTTCCACCACTCTATTCAATGACGGGTCGTAAGGTATTGTGAAAGACTGCCCCCCAGTCCTTGTGCATCGCATTAAAAGCTCCACCTACAACTGTGGAGATGTGGTGTTGATCCTTAATTTCATCCGTTGTGTGGCTGGTGGTGATTCCGTTGAGGACTACTCTTAACTTTTTCTAGTGTGGTATGTGGTACTGCAACTCTTGGTTATCCATAATCTGGGATATTTTGCGTTATGAGTTTGTTGCATCTGAAAGTGGTTTCTTTGAGACGGTCTCATTGTCTTCAGATACCACCAACGTCGGGGCTTTCCGCACTTCAGAATTCTTCTGATGGAGCTTGTAATCGGCAACTAGCCTGTTTGTCCACAACTTCCGATTTGGCTTTCAATGAAAGATAATATCCAGCTTGGAATTGCTCCTACAGGGTTTTGATCTCTCCCTTAAGAAGCGAGTCCTCATTAGTCGCCATCTTCGGATCCGGACATCACAAGAAATGCCAAGTCTTCACACTGGGCTTCGTTTTGAGTCGCCTCGGGGAGCGCGTGTCCAGGTGTTACCATTTGGAAACTACTACACCCGTAAACCAAATAGCAGATGTGACCTTTACAGATTGAGTTTTTTTTGTCTACTCCACCATGTACCTAAATCTATCTATGAAATTTTATTGGGTTTAGGACAAATTTCGTAGTATGTACTTCCTATTGGTTTAGATATTTGTTTGAATGCTATCTGATGTAGGTATTGGTGCTACCTTGGCTCGAAGCTTTCGTTGGGACAACCTTCGGACAGATTAATTTTTTAAGTGATTGGAACTAAATGCATATGTAACAAATTCAAGAATACTACTGTACTTTGAAGTTACACCCTACTGGAGCCATCGGGGCGCCATCAACTCGATCAAGGTTTAGTCGCCGGCGATAAAGAATTCATTCTTTGAAATATGATACGCCTTCTAGACTGCTCGAGAGTATTGTAATTTTTTTTATTACGCTCGGTCCACAATCTTTTAGAACAAATAGGAAAAGGATAGATATTATAGGAGAATCCCTTGATCCACCCAAAGAGCTAGCATAAGTTTGTGAAGGTATTATTATTATTATTATGATTATTAACCGAAAATCACAGAAAAAAATCGAAAAAATTATCAAAGTCCACGTATGAGATCGAAGGGACTTCAGCGCATTTTTGTGTGGAAGATAAGTACTTTATTAACCAGTATGGACTCCACCATAAAAAAAATCTTGTCGACGGCTACCGCATTCACTTTGTCGGTACCCGCTAGTCTTACTTCTCGCGTGCACCCGCAATTTTTTGACTTCACCATCAGTAAAATCTTGTCGGGGAGCTACCATATTCCCTTTATTGGTACCCACTTCCGATGTTACGTTCCCCCGCAAATCGAATTTGAAGTTTTGACTCCATCATCAGTAAGCTCTTGTCGGTGGCTACCATATACCATTCGTCGGTGTCCACTTCCGCCCTCCCGGTGATCCGCAATTCCCTTTTGAAGTTTTGACTCCACCATCACTAAGATCTTGTCGGGTGCAATATTTCCTTTGTCGGTGCCGACACTTCCGACGTCCCACAATTCGCGTTTGATGTTTTGACTCCACCACCAGTAAGGTATTATCGGGGGTTACTACATTATCTTTGTCGGTGCGCGGTTCCGACGTCCCGTTCACTCGCAATTGACATTTTGGTGGATTTCGCTAAAAACCCGGCACAATAGTACTCAATTTTTGAGTACTTCTCATAGCTCAAGCTCGAGCTTCTATTGGCGACACGAGAAAAAGAAACGGAGATTGAAGTTTTAAGAAAGTTTTGAGCCCCGACGTTGTCTACCCCTCGAAGCGCGCTCTGCAAAAGGTGGTTCATTTCGCCCCCAGGAAAAAAAAACAAAATTCCTCCACGTAGGAGTCGTGCGCATTAAGCCAATTAAGGCCAATTTAACCCCCCTCTACATATTCATTTGATACACATTCAGTCGGTACAAAACATACCTACACAAAAAAAGAGATAAATTTAATGTAAATTGACTTTCATTCAAATTAAAAAATATAATATTAGTCCATGTCCAATATGTGTTTAAGAATCGTAGACAGCCTCGCGAAAAAACTAAGTTCGACGACGAACTACGTAGTTCCACTGGCAACTTGTTCCACAGTTTCGCGGCTTGCACCTGGAAGGATGATGCACCCATACTTGTAGCTGCCTTTGGGATCAACAAGTTTGAGTTTCGCGTAGAGTACCGGTGAAAACTTTTCAAGGACGAAAATTGTGTACCTAAATAGGTACGACGGCTTCTGATTCACAATGATTTTGTGCATCATTTTTAGCATGTACTCTTGCCCTGCATGTTGATGTTGCGCATTAAAAAGATCTTTCCGACGACACCTACTTGAAAAAAATCGGAGAAAAACTGTAGAAGAAAATAGAAAAAAAGCTGAAAAATCTCCATGTTAGTATAACACGCTTGGGGATGGCGCCCAGATGTCGCCGGCCCCAGATCTTGTACCCCCGTCCCTAAAGTTGTTAAATACACGGCACCATAGGTACATGTGCACTTCTAGTCGTTTTACAAGCGTTCTTCTACGGGCCCGCTTTTACTGCCAGCCAGCCAGCCATCCAGCCAAAGTGAGATTAAAAGCTAGGTACTTTTTTTGCGCATTGTTGGAAATTTATTTGTAAAAAGATAGATTTTAAACTCCCTTTGGCTGGCTGGTAGGATGGCTGGCCGGTTGGCTGGCTGGCTGGCAGTAAATGCGATCCCGTAGAAGAACGCTTGTAAAAAGACGAGGAGTGTACATGTACATATTGGGGACGAGTAATTAACAGCTTTAACTACAGTTTTTCTCTGATTGTTTTCAAATTGCGTGTCGGAATTTTTTTTTTCTATGGGCGAAATGAACCACCGTTTGTAAAAACCTTGCCTATTTACTAAAAGTGCTACACGGACGCATTTACCGATTTTAAAAAAGGTAAAATTCCTATACATAAAGGCTCATCTCATTTTCCTATACGTTAAGGATAGGTTTAGATCAGTGTTTGGCAAAATACCTGTGAATGTCACCCCTATTTTGCAACCCTAATACTATTCTCTATTATTGCGCAATAGCCGACCCCAATTTATTTCTTCGCGACGTTAAGCACCTCCAGGAGTAAATAAAACGCGCTTTGGGGCGATGTATTTTTGCGGGTTGGATGCACCAAATACCGCGAGTATTACAGATAAAGTTATTTCGCCTTCTCCCTTCGCTTAACAAACACTTGCGCGAAGGGACTTTATTACGAAAATTTAGATTTATGTAACACCATGGAGTCCATTTTCGGTTATTAAACGTCTCAACAGCGAGCGCTTGCTTATTTTACATGCACCATGAACGTTATTTACGCTGGAAGCTTCCCGTAATAACATACCCCAAGGACTTTGATCGTGGAAAACATCGCGTTTTGCTTTTATTTACACCGCAAACATCAATATATCGTAGATATATCACAAATTACCTTCAAACACATGCGCCACGCTCAAAATTGCCATTACTCGTGGTGTACCTACATTTTTACATTAAACGCGGGAGGGCGCAACAAAATGTTGCTCCCATGTCCCGGCGATTCGACACCGCCCCCGTTGGCGATTTATCGCTTCCTTTATTAATCGCGCGACACTTACCTGGCGTTTTGTGGGCCGACAGATTTCGCCTCGTACGAAGAGCTCGCTGTAATGGCATGGTCGGGGATGCGTCCCTCCTCCATCCCCAGCGCCGTACGGCACTCGCCTGTAACAAAAGCAACCTGCATTAATTGCGAGCGAAATTGATCCAATGCATTATAATTTAAAGGCTCGCGATTTTTCCTCGAGGGAAACTTTAATGATCCTGAAGAAATTGTACCCCAGCTTTGATCTCTGCAGCATTTTTGTGTGAGGCGAAGAGATTTTGTTTCCTTTTTTGAGTTGTAAAATATAATGGGGACGCCCTGTCAAATCTACATCTTTTAAAGTTTCACGTTACCTTCAAGCTCGCAGCCCCTAAATAGAGGGTAACTATTTAAATTAAATCTCGCGCAGACTTATTATACTCAATTCCGGGTAATTGCTATTCACTCCAGCTTTGTTAAAAGTTTTATACGTAGAGTATGGTATACTCAACTATCGTTCAACTTTCAGCATTGTTGTGTAATTCTATTGTTGGGAGAGCTTTTGATTAAAAAATTTAAGCATAACCATTTACGGCAAAGTTTCCTGGAGATCTATAAAATTACTCGCTAATTTATGAGTTACTGTATACGGAAACCTTTTTTTTTTAGTTTATGTTTAACCTACTTCCTTGCATCCTCGCGTAGATTAACGATCGGCGTGCGGGAGTTTAACAAAATAGGCTCGTAAAAACTTTTTCCAGGTTATTTCAGTGCTTACTTTTAGAGACGACGAGAACACTAAAAGCTCGCGCATCGCAATAATCCAACTATAATAACATATTGGGAGAGAGTTACAATTTTACGTGTCTTGTAGGGTTGAAATCGTATGGTATACAGAGAAATGATGTACAAGTACGAAAGTATACCAGTAATTAAGTCTTCAATGCGAGCGGACCTAGTTAATTAGAAAGTGTGGGTCACGAGAAACGAGTTCCAAATCTAGTTTTTCCGGGGTGTAGGTAACGACAACAGTTGTTGCGCCGGAATATTCCAATTACACTAGATGTTAATTGGATTAATGAGTATTGAAGTTTGAATCCGCTTAATTGGGGAAGCACTGTTAATGAATGACGTTTTAATGAGTTGTGGAAAAACCGGCAGACGGCGTCCAAAGTTATATCAAAATGAGCGCGCTTAAAAAACGGGAAGTCCGATGTCCATCTTATATTTTTCCGATAACTAAATTAGCAAAATGCGTTATGGGGGGTTACGCTGACTTAGCCCCTCCAAAATATATTTCAGAATGACCAATAAACAAGGATAGTGCAAAGATATCTCTTTACGGCGAACTTTAGCGCATACCTAGGGGTACAATTTCATATGGACAGATCATAGAAAAAAAAGCAACTTTTAGAAACGCCCTCCCCCCCCAACTTTTTGAAAATTTGTCATCGCTTATTCGTGATGACGCTAACTTTAATTCCAGTGGCGCAATTGAGCGCATAACCAAATACCAGGGGAAAATACGTGCGGAGGGGGGGGGGGCTACGTACACTTGGCCCTATTTCAATCGGCGATATCGCACTACCGCTGTTATCGCAACTTGTAGGCAAACGGTCTGGACTGCAAAACTTGTTTTTATCCCAATTTTCATTTACTATGGGAATATAAAATCCTTAATAGTTAATTAACGTCGCTGAAATCTTAACCTATTAATTGATTCCCTTCTTCCCTGGCAAGAGAGTAAGAATCAGCGCTTCTCAATACCGGGTGTTCAGTAAAGCTGGACGACTTCACAAAAATATACGGTGTGATCATAACTTCGGGTATGCTTCGTTACAACGCAGACATTGGGACGCGGACAATGAGACGCAGGCTTTACGACGCACACATTAGGATTGGGACTTTTTTTTATAATGTCGATGGCCCCTTTTTTAAGGTGTCAATTCATTTTCGACCTTTCAAAGCCCTCCATCTTTTTCCGGTGTCATATTCTACTTCCAAGGTTATCAGAGTTCAATGACCCTACTTTTCTGTTGCCCTAGTTCATTTTCAAGGTTATTAGAGGTCAATAGCCCCTTTTTGTAATGTAATGTTTCATTTTCAAGGTCATAAAAGTTCCATAATCACAATTTTTTCGGTGTACTATTTCATTTTTAAGGTTATCGGTGTTTAACTGGACCTTTCTTTGGTGTCATGTGTTAGTTACAAAGTTGTTACGCTCATTACGGAACAGCGCCAGGACAATGATCTTTTTCCGTGTGTCGATTTTTATTTCCAAGGTCATTCAAGATCAATGGCCTCATTGTTTACGTGTCACATTCTACTTTCGGATCGTCATAGGTCAGCAGTAAAATTACATTTTCAATGCCATCCAACGTTAATGCGCGTCTGTGTACATTTATAATTCAGTCAGCCCGCTACTTGTTTTACTAAATGTAGATTTCTCAGATGTTAATGGTAATACATTCTGCAAAACGTTTGGGTAGTAGGTCAAGATACTTACGTGAAAGAATGTTAAACTTTCAATATTTTTCCATCGAATAATGACCATGGGATGGTGTACTTTGCACTTTTAAAAACGACTATAAATCCTCTGCATTAATACGTGTCGAAATATCGAATAGTATTATGTCATAGATACCGTATGCTGAGCACTCGAGACCAAAGCAAGCAATAGCCATATAGAGATATCTCAATCAACTCGATGTATCTTTTTATTAGAGATTATTGCCGTTCAAAGTTCAAAATTTGCCCGCCCTTCAAAGTTCAAAGGATTCTTGACGTTCAAACGAAACGATATTCGATTTAGTGCAGAGAGATTTCATAGGGCCAATCAATGTTTTAGTCAAATTTTAGAACATATCAAGTACTTTTAATCTTTGTCTCGTATATAACAGTTGATATTTAACCTCCAATAGCTTTTTTTATCAGATAAACTTTAACTTGAAGAAATCGTTGATTAGGTACCTATTCCCAAAATGAATTGATTGCATTTATGGATATTTGAGGGGTCATCAGGCGCATAGTATGACGTACCACTTTATTTTCTCTATAACCTACATAATAAAATACTTCCGAAACGTTTATCAATTTTACAATGTTACTTCCTGTTTTGAGAGATCTGAGATACATTCAGTTGTTTTGAGAAATAAACTAGTCAACATAGGTATACGGATTGTTACTAGGGAAATGAAACATTTCCCAATGTTTCTATGGAAAGCTATTAGTGTACTACACTGCTGAAAAGCAAAAGAAATCTATTGAATGGCCCAGAACTGGGTATGCACTACCATTTAAAAAAATCAAAATAATAGAGTCAATATTACAGATTTATAGTGAAGTCTTTTGATACCCAAAAAATTGCCAAAATTTTGGATTTGATACCCAAAAAAAAGGTTGTAATTTTATACTCGAAAAGTGAAAGCGTAATCATTAGGAAGGGGATAAGAACACTTAATAGACGTCATTAACGTCTAATAAGGTCTTTCAAAAGCAGAGTTTATTGGTCTTTAAAGACATCCATTGGTCATCAAATGTTTCCTTTCTCAGAGTTTTCAATGGTTGCCGCAATCTTTTAGTGACTTTTAGATCCTCCATCAGGATTTTAAGCGCTTTTAAGAACTCTTAAAGGATTTAATCGTCTTTCAGGGTAAAATAGTATTTGAATCTTGAAGGATCTTTTCGATTATTTACTAGTCTCAAGAGTCTCCAAGTGCAGTTAACGACACTCCAAGGTCTATAACACCGCCTTTATAAAGATCTTTAAAAGATTGCATTTATATTAAAAGTTGTGTCCTTTAAAGGCATGGAAATCCTTTATTCGACTATTCGTTTTTGGCTTTTGAAAGCATTTTATACGCTTTGATAGCGTATGAGAGGCTTATCTTGAGGTTCAAGCGTCCTTAAAAACATCTTTACACGTATTCAACTAAACTCTAAACGTTGCATGAAGTCTCCATGGGCTTAAAGTGGTCAAAAGCCTTCCGAAAGCTATTTTCGTTCTCGAGGTTTTCCTTTCTATCGGAGAGCAGAACTTTTAACAAAGAACCTCAAGACTTCGAAATCGTGGAGAAAATAAGGCTTCAAGGAATCAAGGGATCAAAAGACCAAAAAACCGAATAGACCATAGGGCCAAAGACCCTGTAAACTAGAGCACCAAAGGTACATAGGACAAGAAATGGCAAGAGAACCCAGAAATTAACAAACCAATGAATCAGGAAATACAAGAATTTTGCTCAGAACCGGAATTAGAAGGCAATAACTTCAGGATTTTAAATTCTAGAACTCAAAGTTAAGATTCCGGATTCATTCATGTTGATTTAGTCCTGTCCGTTCAGGTTTAGGGAGACGGACACAGCGATTTTTAGTTTTCACAGTGTCGCATATTCAAAATTACGGAATTGAGTGCATTACTAAACGTATTATAGTCGATAATTAAATTATAAGAGGGTGATTAACGTCTGTATCTTTCAAGTGGTCGCATTCATGAGAAAGCGCTTTTATAAAAATATTTCTTATCATGCACTTCAGTGATAGTGCAGTTTTCCGTATGTTTTGGACAAAGATCGCAAACCAAGGTACAGGTGAACTTAGAAAAAGGTACGAAAAGAGCAATGTTTGAATCTTCTCAAAGTACCTGTTCAGTTTCTTCGATATCCTTGCCTCAAAAGATTCGTGTGTTGGCTAAGCCTATTGGAAGAAGCACCTCGATGGCCAAGAGGAAAAGGCAGTGTGGGATTAAAAAATCACCCTTTCCTGGGGTGATCTCTGTGTTCTTGTTTATAAAACCGTCTGAAAGTTTCATGTTGACTGTTTTGGGAAGGGGAGGTCGTAGTCGGTTGCCCCCAACTCCATATTCGGCGGTTCTTTTGCTCCGCATTATTCATCGATTTCTCTCCCCGACCAGCACAAGTCTAGGAGAGACGACACGGGGTGAGTTTTGGATCGTAGGTATCGTGGGTTAGTCTCCTCCATACAATACAACCGTGGTGTCCCTAACGGCCAGATTTTCAACTGCGTGTATTTAACACTCCATTGAACACAAGCAGTTTTTTGTAGCTCGAGAAGTGATTTCGTCCCCACAGAGGAAACAAAACTGCTACAAGTTACAGGATCGCGGAGATCCGCTTCTTCTACTGTATGTCAATGGTTGAGGAGAACTGTATTTCTGACCAAAATAATGGAGGAGGGAAAAGATTCATACATATTTTGATCCTTCGATCCGGATATGTATAACAGTTGGAAGAGTTCCAGTCAATTTTCAAGATTTGGAAAGATTTCGTCCTGCATCTGTGGATTTCTTTTACTCCGTTGGTGCGGCCGTAACAACAAATCTACGCCACTTACAGATAATAGGATCTGCGGAATCTGCCCAAGTGTTGCCTTACTAAATGCCAATATTGCAAAGATCCATCAACAGACCCTTGTCAATATTTAGCAAACTCTTTGGGGATTTAATCCACTTGATGATTTTTCTACTACCAACTTATGTAACCTACAGAACAGGAGCATCATCTTTGCTCTCAATTAGATGTCGTTGCTTGTTCCTTTTCCAGAGGCTCCCAGGATCATTTCAAGTGACTACCACGTTGATGACGTTACTGGCTCAGACTCTGTATCAGATCTTTTTCGAGTATGCAGGGAAGTTAGTGAATCTATTCATTGCTGTTGTTTGCCTCTTCGGAAGTGGATATCTAATAATCCCAAGGTCATACATTATTTCGGTGGGTGCTCGGCCTTTTTTGATTAGGATAAACTCTGTCCTATTCTTCCACTGATTTGGAAAAACCAACCAAGGTTTGTCCAAATGTAATTGCAAAGGCTGAGTAAGCAGTCAATGGCTTTTTTTCGTAGGTTCTTGATCAGGGATGTCATAAGGACTTGGACTAATGGTCAGATTCGACTATTGCTATTGGATGGATTAAAACTGCTCCAAATCTGCTGGAAACGTTCGTAGCAAATCTTGTATATAAAAATTCGTCCTTGACTGAATCAAATAAATGACTTTATGTCGGATCCAGCAGACATCATAACTAGAGATCCAGTAAGCCTTATTTTATGTCATTTGTGTGGGGAAGGTCCAGACTTCTTGCTTTCAGGGCCTCTTTGTATGATTTTTCCCGAAAAATGAGTTTGTATTCATTGTTTGTTGTATGTTCTATTAGAAAATATTAAAAGAACGACCGATCCGTCTGTGTGACTTAGTGGTAGAACGTTGGGCTACATAGCCGGGAGGTCGGGTGTTCGAACCTGGGTTGAGGTGAATTTTTTATCTGTGGCAGAGATGAGAATTTCCTTAGATCAGTTTCGAGCATTCTGCCGGCTACTCCGAATTAGGTTTTTCTGCATTTTTCCCGATCCATAAGGTAAATACGGGAGTAGTATAGAACAACTGAAGAACTTTTGCAGAGCAACTCTAAAAGCATTATGCCCAGAACAACTCAGGAATAATAAATAATTGAGTAATATACATAAATAAATAAATAAATAAATAAATAAATAAAAAATAAACAAATAAATAAATAAATAAGTAAATAAATAAAAAATAAATAAATAAGTAAACAAACAAATAAATAAATTCCGGCCAATGTGGCGCAGTTCAGTTAAAGCTGAATTGTGGTGCTAAGGGTCCCTAGTTCGAATCCTGGTTCGGGAATGGATATTTGTAAATGTATAGTGGGTAGGATTGGTAGAGCAGCCTTGGCTGAAACACCGCCCACTCAAAAAATAAAGGCAAACAAATAAATAAATAAATAAATAAATAAGTAAAATTGTTGTTTATTAATTTATAGTACTGACTAAATTTTAAGTAAATAGGTCAAATATTATTATCATGAATATGATTCGTTCTGCAATTAAGCGGCGGCCATCTTGTTGATGTGATAGCCGGAAAATGTACCAGGTGGTAGATGTCCACCCAAGTCCAAAATCCTTCGTAATACACACTAAACATTCCTGAAAAAGAATCTTTCATAGTCAAACTTTCCCACAGGACTGCAGACAAGGCCAGGACTACTCAGAATAAGCAAGACCAACATAATATTCATAACGTATATTTAAAGGTGGTCCCAAAGTACAAAGATATTACATACTTAAAAAAACCATTGACAGAATATATTTATGTTTCACGGTATTATAGTAAAATATAGTGTAGTGATCCACTCGATCAAATCATTGGTGAATTGTTGCATCTGTCAGTATTGCAATAATTACATTGAGTTACATTCTTGTAAAATTGTCCCAAATTTTTACAGATATCATCTCTGTCCTCTTCTTTCATCCAATAGCAGCTTCGGTTGTGCAATATTTCCAACGGTAGAACCCAAGTGTTAAGAAACGAGGCGGAAACACACCACGCTGTCGCACCATGCATGGATAGGTCAACGCAAGTCTGGTAGTTTTGCGACTGGCCCGATGTGCAGTCAGAATCGTATTTGTTCGTACAACTGATGCATTCCAGTGCTGAGATGAAATCATCATTTGGTGACAATCACAGTATACTGTTGTACTTACCTGAAGCGGCATAAGGTACTACGACGAACAACACTAACATAACCTTTGAAGCCATTTTGAGTTCGGGGTAAAGTGCGTCGTTGCTAGCTTGCAGTGAACTTATATACCTATTCTTATCAGTGTGCTTTTCCTCTACCGTTTATCGGATTATCAGTTCTTGTCAGGCAAAACTTGATAGCATTACCGTTATCTGAGGATCGATGGGCTATCGAGCTATGCGAGTTCCTGCCTAGGTCCAGTTGTTACTTGTAAACCACATAGTTTTATCTTCGTGCAAACATTTGACTAAGAACTTTAAAAACTCGTCCTTGAATATCTGCAATCTCACCCTGTGTCGTGTCCAGGTGCTTTTTGCAATTACGTAGTTGTATTCATCGTTGTTTGTGACTGGGTATGGTTAGCATGGAGTATTGTTATTCTTACGATGGGAGGATGCCGTAGGGGCTGGGTTCTTAATATGTTTTGCTGCCTTCCAGGAGCCTGGTCATAGCTTAGCACTGGGCAACATTTGAGTAATTGGGTGAAATGCCATCGGCTTGTCCTTGTCATAGGAGACGGCGAAAACAACACTTGCTTGAGTTATACAGTAACCAATCAGCGACCAGCAGGCTTGGTCGTGAGTATACACTTGGGCGTAAACCTCTGTGCTTTTTTAGGGCGCCAGATATAACCCTGAAGACCCTATTGATCAAGCAGGACGAGTCATTCTAATCGCGTATGGCTCTAAATTCTACAATATGGCGACAGGGACGTTTATTCTTAACGAAGTTAATATACACATACAACCCGTGTGATCTGCTGGTGTAGATATGTTGGCTTGATTAAAGAAGTGAGCTATTGTCTATGTGTAGGCTATGCGTAGTTGTTAAAAGGAAAACAATTTGAAAAAAAAAACTATGAGGGTTTGCAGAATAACGCATCCGCAAATGTCACAGTGGACTACAGATTCCACGAATTTTGGTACCAAAAAAATATGCTATTAAGCATAAATAATAATTAATTTTTTAGATACTACCCACAGATCCCAAATAAATAAGAAACTATTTATAATTATTCTGCTCTGTGTGGTCAAAAATGAATCGCACGCGTAACGCTATGCAATGCCCACGTTTCACTGTTTCCTTTAACTTCCTAATGATAGCAAAAAAGGAAAATTTGTGACTGTTGGGTAAATTTTGAATTACAACGCTAATACTATAGTAGGTTGATTAATCAAAGTTGGCCTTATTAACATTTAAAACCCCCTCATTAGCACCTTTTTATTCCTGCAATTCATAATTTCAATGGTTTTTGCTCATGAAAAACGGACCTACGAACTTGGGAGCTAACTTGGTACGTCAATAAAATGGGTAAGTTCGCATGTCGGATTAGCGTTTTAAATGGAGGTTTCTGCTACAAAAAGAGATATCAACAGGAAAAGGTCAGGGGTTCAGCTTGGCGTTCTTTAATTGAAAGAATCAAAATTTGCATTCGAAAGCTCAAGTTTGGGCCCGTGACTGTAAAAGTTGTATAAGCAAAGGTGTTGGGGGATACCCCTGCTGTAAAGCACTAACGGGGTCGGTAGCTAAATGGTCACCTATGGCAGATAGTCACATGCCACGACAGGCAATGAGAGACAGTCCTATGAAGCACCGAACCTCTCTCAAAACGGGTTTATTTAACACGTTTAACAGCCCTGTTAATAGTTCAGATTCTATTGAGGAGCTGTCCCCCGGCAAGTACGCTTGGACCTCACGTCCACGTAAGCTTGTAGGGTCATGTGACTGTCTGACATAAGGCGGACCCTTTAACAACTTTAACTACTAACTGGGCTGTAACCTTCTCTCAAGTTGTATTTTTTCCTCACCTTTCTATCACAAGTGTCCTTGAAGTTCTTATCGTTATTTCGCCCGGATTACCTTTTACGTTTGACCTGCTTGGATATTTATGCATTACCGACGAGTACGTGGATGATTTAGCAATTTATAACCGACTGTAAGCACAGTCGTGGTCGACCAAATTTTGCTTTTACTAGTGTAACATCATTCGATCATTGATTCCTTTGAGTATTAATTACAGTTTTAGTATACGATTAGCCTCCCGTGTCAGACGTTAGCATTGCTACTTTGCAATGTATTTTCTGTAGCGCGATTCGCTAACCCTTTTCTTTGTTTGTTGTGTCATTTTCTGTTGCAGATTTGCCGAACGCGCCCTTCTGAGCTCAAAAGGCTGCGACCCGAAGTTCAAAGGTAAACTTTATTATTTTCGGCGATTCCCTGATTGAACGTTTGTTACATATTGGTTTCCGATACAATCGAATTGTCATTATTACGAGCACATTTAGCTTGAGATTCATTTAACAAGTATAGCTCCGTTGTTTTCCGGAAGCCTGTTTTGATACTAGTATTTTAAAAATTAATTTAAATTCAAATACTGGCATAGCAGATCTATACAGGGTCATGTAACATGCGTCGGTCTTTCCCAGCTCATACCTGGAAAGAAATATCAAAAAACCTTTTGTGCAAATAATGTCAACTATAGATGGTTGCGCATCAATAGGAATTATTTTTTATTGTGTATGGTGTCCCCTTTTACGGTATCAATAGACTACTGATTTTTTTATAGAACACCCTGTATATTTTTAGTTGCTTCAATGTCATTTTAACCTCTGGATGGAAACCGATTGAGGTTTTTGTTTTTTTGTCAATGTTAACATAATTATTAATTTTTTTCCGAATAATTGGCCATAAGCAAGCCTCACTTTAATAAATCGTAGCGACCTTGATTAGTTAAAAAACCCATTTGATCAGTAATGTGAATCTGAATAAACGGAAACACTTTGGTAATGCCAACGTTGGATTTAGTGATACAGGGCGTTCACAAAAAAAGTTTCCAGATTTCAAAGTGTCATATAACTACTTTTTTTTCAACTGGAACTGTGCTCTTCAATTTTTCTAAGGGGTGTCTTGTGCTTAAGCCCCGTAGTCGCTACGATTTATCAAAATGTGGGTGGGTTATAGAAAATTATTCGAAAAAAAATTAATAATTTGGCAACATTGACAAAACAAGTTTAAAGGTCATTATGCAAACATAAATGACGAGAGCGTATTTTCCTCCTAATAATGTTAATGCTAGGACCAGGAAAAAATAGCGGTAGGCACGAGATCCTTACCCCATTCTCTTTCAAAGGAGCCGCCTATCGTCGAAGTCTAGAAGTTAAATGAAAAATAATGGAGCGTATACAAATGCATACAAATTTTGAAATGGGCATTAGTTTTACTTTTATTCGAACTGTCTACATATGGAACTTTTTATAAATACTTTCGTAAATAGCATTGTGCATTGTCTACATTAGAAATTTGATTGAATACCTTCATAAATAAAACATACAGCATGCGTTAACAGTAATTTTGAAACGGGTATTCGTTTTAGCTTCATTCAAGGTGCCTACATATGATATTTAATTTAACTGCTTTCATAAATAAGAAAGTTGCCATTGCGCATGCGCAAAACTAAATTTTAAAACTGGTGTTAGATTTGTCTTTATGCCAAATGCCTATGTATAAAATTTCAATTAAATAAGAAAGTTGGAATTGCGCACGCCCAAAACATTTTGAAAATGTCGTTAATTTTACTTAAATTCGTAGTGTTTACATATAAAGTTTCATTTAAATAACTTCATAAATAAAAAAGTTAGCATCGCACATGCGTTAAACCAAATTTTTGACAATGCGCATGCGCAAAACCAAAAAAATATGTTTATGCACGGAATCCTTGGACCAAACCCTTTCAAATCAAAGGAGTACGTGTGATGGACAGACGGACGGACGGACGGACGTCAAAGTGCAGCCAATAGCGATTTTTCACTTTGAGGAAAATACGCTAACAAGGTTGATCTCCGTCATGACAAGAAGCTAAGGTAGGCATTTTCTTTTTTTGGTTTGATCTCCATTCCAAGTCCTCTTCGAGCCAAACTAACCTTCTGTTGCATCGCCTCTTCCTTATCCAGAAATTCCACGAGTCGATCTAAGCGGTTTCTCGAAGGCGTATCTTTACTTCCATCATGGGCGGCCAACGAACTACGCTGCCATGTCAAAATAACCTCTTCTGGTAGACTTGACTCAACTAATGGATAAAGCCATGTGGCAGGATCCGCTTTCTCAAGACTGAGTGTTTTCAGTGCATTCAAGCTTGATAAGCAACCACGGCCGTAGCCAGAGGGGGGCAAGGGTGGGCTCAACCCGCTCTTGGGACCCACTTTGCCCGCTCTTAAAATTTGCTTAAAATAACCACAATGTAGCAAACTTTATAAATAATCAAAATTTCTTAAAAAAACCTGTATTATTATCATTTTATTATTTTTTTATCACCTGCAATACAGGCATAAGAGAGATCCGAGGAGAGATCAGCTACAAATGACCTCCAACTTTTTAAGTCGATACGATACACAGATTTTTTGAGCATCGAGCAATCGAGTTTGGCCTTTTTCCCAAAAAAATTGGTGCATAAATAAGGATTTAGATCGATATTGGACAATAAAGTGATGGATACTAAAATTAATTCTTGACAGGAACCATCAGATTTCTTAAAGCGAAAACCAGAAGTCGATACGAGTTCTTCTTCCAAAGAAAATCGGTGCATAAATAACGATTTTGACATTTTTTGTGAACAAAAATACAGATGGACCACTTCTTGGGCATTGCGTAATTGAATTTCCCAAAAAAATCGATGGTTAAATAACGAATTTGACATCCTTTATATTTTGGTCACCAAAAATAGACATTTTTTGTTCGTCGAGCAATCGAGTTTGATCTTTTTCCCAACAAAATTGGTGCATAAAAATATTAATTTTGACCAATTTAAAGCGATAACACGTAATGAATGCCAAAGTTCTTTTTTGATAGTCGATACGAGTTCTAGGGACTGAGCTATAGTACTTAACGACACGCAGACGGATGGAAATGTGAAGTCATAAGTTCTCCACTTTCGTGGATTGCGGTAAAAACGAATTCCTTCAGCAGAACACAGCAAATTATTAATATTTCGCCTGCCCGCTCCTAGTAACTAATCTGGTTACGGCCCTGTATGCAACATTTGAAAAGGGATCTTGTCATTTGAATTCACATTGGAAATGACTAACTTCAATAATTCTCTAATGTAACCTTAAAGGAAGAAGTCTTCATTCCGGTATCTTGAATAAGATCTTCAACTACCTTCAGATAGTTTTTCATTTGACTGGGGATAGGTTCCAGGTAAAAGTGACTGATGTAAATACTGGAAATTTTTCTCACATTGAGCGCAATATCCTAGCCAATCCTTGAACTCTCTTGAAACTTCCTTCAACCCCATCTTGGGCAGCCGAAATTCTCTTGCTTTACCTCCAGATCCAAATGTAACACAGTTACACCGGTTATTTTCTGTATCATTTCTGTAATAGCTTCATATTCCGTTTCGTCAACCCCATCATCCACCATTTGATCTGAAACCTTCTGGTCTAACTCTGCCAAGCTAATCTCTTCCTAATTTAGCGTCCTCAGGGCAAATTCTTCGGAATTGGTTCCACTTGGAATTTAGCTCAGCGATCCACTTTTTAACTCCACTCCGAACTGGGCGTGTGGATCTTTGAAGGGAATCCATGGTAGGTCGGTTTCAAAAGGTAGGGGTCGCCAAATGTTATTTTTAGAATGAAAGGGTTTAACCAACCGCATCTTTTTATATTTACGTAACTAATTGCAAATGATGTGGACAAGACTGAAGCTCAATTTTTATTTGACATATCATATGACATTTTTCAGTTCCACAGCAAAAATCACCACTCCTCTCAACTCAATGCAATCATCAAATCCCAATCCCACTTTTCCAAAAAAACTTCAACAAAAAAGTTCCCAAACTGACCGCTGCTGCTACCAGCGTATCAACTGATGAAAGATATTAATGTTAAAACATTAATAAAATCTCTTGAGCTTCAAAAATAGAAAAATGAAGAAGTTCATAAATGTCATTCAATATTAATCATACCTATATTTTTTATTAACATCTATACACTTTATAATTTATAATCAGAGACTTTGGTCAGCTCAAATCCAAAAGCTGTGTCTACTATTTGGCATTCGCACGACCAGAACCGTGACGTATGAATAGGATAGTGGAAAAGTACTTCTCATCAGCGTAATTGGGATCAATTCCCACAGGAGAGATCCCAGCTGTCTAGACACTTTACCAGCAACGTTAAATTTTACCAGGTACCAAGTAAAGAGGAACAATTGACATGGTTTTTAAGGTGCTTGTAAAGGACAAATAAATAATTGACTTGTCTTCTGGCAGAGTTTATTTACAACATAACTGATGTGTGAAAAGTTATTTGTTAATTGATAGCTAGACGATCAAAACAAATCTTCAAAATGTACGGTGGGGTGTCAAACTTGTGAACCGTATTCTAATGTAGATTTAGGAATAGGTATACATGACGGGATTTATAAAGTAATGATAAATGTATTAATGGGAAATATATCAAAATGCGTAGCGATCCACTTGTTCAAACGATTGGTGAATTGTTGCATTTGTCAGTATTGCAGTATTTACACTGAGTAACATTTACGTATGATTTTTCCAAATCTTTGCAGATATCGTCGCCGTCCTCTTTCTTCATCCAATAGCAACTTCTGTTGGTTATTACTTCCAATGGTTGAACCCAAGGGTCAGCTAACGAGACGGAAATACACCACGCTGTCGCATTATATGCGGATAAGTCGGCGCATGTCTCGTAGTTCTGCGACTGGCCCGATGTGCAGTCAGAATCGTATTTGTTAGTACAATCGAAGCAATCCAGCGCTGAGACTAAATAATCATTTTGACCAAAGCTGACTATCACAGTATAATATACTTACTTGAAGCTACATAAGATACTAGGAGGAACAACGCCAACACAATCTTCGAAGCCATTGTGAGTTCAGGTGCTATTTGTGATATCCTCGCGTAAACTGCGCCGTTGTTGTTTGTAGCGAGCCTATATACATACCTATTCTTCTTATCAGTGGGTAGACACCCTTCATCTACCGTTTATCGAGCTATCAGTAGTTATCGAGCGAAACCTGATAGCGCCGCAGTCCCCTTATCTGAGGATCGATTTGGGTAACCCGGTGCAGATTCCTACCTTGTAACTACTTCTAAAATCAGCATCTGTCCAGCCTTGTCCAGGTACTCCTGCTTCCTGGTCCATAGCCATGTGATTACAACACCCCCACACTTTGGTTGATACAATTTGTGTAAACTTCGGATTATTGCAGACTTGATGGTACAGTTGAGAGACAAATTCAACAAGGGCATAGTCTTTCTCATCACTGTTCTTGGCCCATGTTCCGTATTCCTACGAATGGGGGCTGCTGTAGTACCTGAGATGCTAATGTGAGTTGCTGCCTTCCAGAGTTCTAGGCAATATTTGAGCAATCGGATGAGACATTTTTGTGAGAAGAAAAATTTCCGACTCGGAGAGCCAGTAAGATGTAGTTAATAGAAATGGCGGTCAATCCAAGATAGCGGATGTTGAGTTCTATAATGCATGAAGTAAACTAACGGAAATTTTCATTTAATGAAAACTAAATCAACCCCTCTTCGTTACTTTCAAAAGTTTCATATACACTAAAATCTTCTACTTCTACTTCAGTGACGTTTTCACAAGTTGGCAGTTTGCATGCGCTTGTACACTTTAAGTTCTTAGCATTACATAATGGTAGTGGTCAAGATTTTGAACAAGAGCAGCTTGGGAATTCTAGGTGAGGGGATATGGAAGCCAAACTTATCTTTCATCTTCTTTGCTGCTTCCGGAATAGCATCTCTTTGATTTTGACGTACAATTTTATTTTCCAATGTACTTTTTGTTTTCACATAATCTATATGTCAAATTATCTGGCACAATATACACCTTTCCATCAATATTAACAAACTCACGTTATAGCTAAAAGCCGTATTTGATCGTATTTATTGCAAAACAGTCAGTCTTGTCAATTGTAAAGTTCTTGTTTAAAGTTAAGCGGACGCGTGTTTCACGTTTCACGAAGAAGTTAGTCGGAGTGCTGTGTATATCGAGCAGGCGTCGCTTATGTGGAGTCTTCATTTAAGGTTTTCCCAAAGGGAGTTTTCCCACCATTAAAAACCCAATTTTAGATCTGTAATTACAACGAACCCAGTGTCGTCGAAATCGAGATACAAGTTCAATTAAAGTAGAGAATTGAAGTTATAGAAACGTAATCCGCACATACCAATTTCATCATCATTTGGTATTTGATCCGGTCTGCCTCTTCCGCTACAATATATCTGTTAGTAGACGTTTTTCTATAGTAATTTCTCGAAGTTTCTTATCAGTGTTAAGGTGAAGAACCTGAAGTAATGGTTCCATAGATCGGCTTCCCTTCTTATATTTATATTTAATTCGTGGGACTGATTTTTTTCGTTTCAAACGCTTCTGGATTGGTTGTTATGAGTTTCAACTTTCACTATCAGAAGAAGCCTGCAAATTCTTACTTAAGTACTTCTATTTCAGAGTGTACAACAGTTTATCCGATGTATTTCCTAGTTTAATCAGACGATGAAAATTCTTGTAATGCATGTATAACACTGCCTAGGATTGCCTGTATTTTGGAGAGTGCAACTCACTAAAAGGTGAAATCTCTCCACATATGATACAGAATTATTATGTTTTTGCATATTTTCACCATCTTCTTGATGTTTGGAAGCACTTATTTTATTTATATTTTAATTCAATTTGCAAAATGCATATCTTTTATTTACTCGAATGAGATTTTGTGTATTTTCGATTTGCAACATTTGCGATTAAACCGAATTTTTTTTCCTTTTTTTTTCAATATTATATTATATTTATGAATTTAACAAAAGGTTAAATATTAACATATTGCAAATAAAATTGTTTAAAAACATTAAAAAAAATAAAATTAAAAAAACCAAAAATTTACCGTATACTTAAGATATAAAAAATTTCATTAAATGCTGTCTGTGGCGGTAGAGTGCCTAAAATACAAGCCGCATTTCCCTGCTGAACAGCTAAACTGAATTGATTTTTGCGTATCTTGCATATTATTTTGATATTCTTTGCATTTACATGATATTTTGCATATTTTAAGATGTATTTCAATTTTTGTTGGATTTAATCGATTTTAATTTAAATTTTTAATACATTTTTATAACGGACGCGATCATGAAACATACTGCAATAGCCGAAAGGAACATTTATTGATTTAATTGATGTTTAACTTCATTTGGTTAGGAAATTGCTCCAATAGTTTGTCATTTTCTAATGCAGCTATTACTTTTATTGATGTAGAGAGAAGTTTCTCTGCTTACTGCTTATAAATTAATTCTTAGCGACAGGAGGCAATCATTTCGTTCAGAAAACTTAGAGAAACGTCTTATTGCTAGTGTTTATCGTAATTCCTTTTTTATTAGCAATTATGCAACATATATATGTAATTTTGCATATGTGTGCATATACATTAAAACTGTGCATATTTTTCACTAATATTCTGTACATATATATATGCGCATATTTTACCTTTTTTTTTATTAATACAGGTAGTAAAGAAAATTCGGAAATACATTTTAAAAAAACGTATTTTAAATTACTTATTAACAGTTGATTTAATCGAAAGTACTACTAGCAATATTTATAGCACATATAAACAGCTTTCATTACAAAAAAAAAAGAAATATGAAATTGGATCAATAATTCCAGAGATATACCAATACTTGATTTTATAAAACTCAACATCCGCCATCTTCGATTGACCACCAGCTGCAACGAATTCCATATTTTTCAATTCGTCCACCATTTCTTTGGTTTGAGTCTTGCTATCAACTTTCAAAGTCTGGTGTGTTTGTCAACCAAATAATGCCAACAATCTATTTTCGCCAGCTTTTTGTACTCTCTCTAGCGATTTTTGTCAGTCATATAATTAGTGGAAGCGTTTTGATTTTTCGTGATTGGTTAACTTTGATGGTGTAGATTGACCTAATAGCTCTTGATAGTGATTTTAGGTTGCCAAACTTATTGAAAGAAGTCGTCTTGTGTCTACTAAAGTGGCATCTCCAATTTCTAACTATCTGAGATAATGACCAAAATAACTGTTAATCACTCGTATCAGCTCACGTGGAACCCTCTCATGAATAGCGTCGCAATCTTATCCAATAAGGTAAGTGCTCTATTAATATAACCTTATTTTGTTGCGTAAAACGGAGAAACTGCGTCATTTAGTTTAAACGAGCCTATACTTATAAATAATATAGTATTGGTAAATGATCATATCTACGCATGCTGCTAGAAAGGTTTCGTTTTTGGCATCATTGCACTTTTTCATCTGCTCCAATAAATTTGAGGAACATTTTCTCAAGGGAATGTAACGAAAAACGGTTCAGGACAATAACTCCGGGCCAAAATCCCCCCGAACTGCTTGCTTCTTTAACTTGACAAAGATTTTTCCGTAATCGGGCAAAACGCGTTAAACTTTTTATTACACCGCTCTGGTTAACTGGCTTCTGCACAAATTTATTATAAAAAATGACAAATTGCGTGTTCAACAAAACAAACAGGGCTGACTGCCCGAGAATTTAGCGTAAACAAATGTACACGCTCTTCAACCGTCGAGAAACTCACAGTTTACTTTTCTTATTGTCTTCAGTATTTAAAGAAATACCGCTTGCACCATAAAATAAACTCGTTTAAGAATTTTCAAATAAATCGCACAATTCTTCGAAACACCTGCGTCCTCGTTTCAGCACCAGAACACCTGCGCTAATTAGATTTCGTCTAACAATAAAACTTCTGATCGCAAACGACCATATGCAACCTTTTATAAAACACGCAAATTTAACCAGATGTCTCTTACTTCTACCACCTTATCTAAATTGCATAATTACAAAGTGATAATATTTAAACAAGAATTACGCATTTACAAACAAATCTTGAAGGAGAAACAAACACTGAATACAAATTCAAATGAAAGAAACGAACTCTGTGCTTATTTCGTAATTAATTCCCAGATTTACTTCATAAATTGAAATAATTGTTATATACAGGAGTCCGGCCAGTATTTTTGGTTGTAGTGTTTTTTCGGGTAAATTCGCTCATTCCCTCTTGTATTTGGTCTTCGACCTTCTCTAACATTCGCTTGGATCACGTTAAATGCCGCCGCAGCGGCTCTATCCACACCGAAACTAATTAGGCCCTCACCGCTCTAGTCTTAGCAAGGACTTTTTAATTATATCAATTCCCACCTTGTAACAGGACGCATTCCGGTAGTCGGTTTCCACGTACTTCACTGTTCATAACTTCATACGTTAATTTGTCCGAAAACTTAGTCACAGCTTCTTGCTTTGTTGTTCTACTAGCGCGCCTTTTTACTCTCGAAAAAATTTTAAAAACGAACGCTCTCAAAAACACTTTAAAACAGCCGCAGTTCACTTAAAACACGTTCAATCGCTCGGCCACATAACGTAGTATAACCTGTTCAAAACGTACAAACACCTCTGGGTGCTAAACAAAATTTTAATCCAACCAAAGGAATGGTATCACTGAAATTAGATGAAGCACAGGAAAAATAAGCCAATATATGTTCCGCTGTTGATATTAATCTTATTAATATATTTTGACCAATTTATTAACTAGGTTTTGTTGCGGGCAAAATGCACCGAATAATTGGGTTTAAATTCTCTGCCGTATCCAATGGGATCAGTCAACTTGCTTTTAACCAGCAGTTACTATTAGCGATTCGAAAAAAACATCTTTGTTTAACACCAGAAAGTGAACGGCCTTTCTACGAATTTCCGATTTAAGTTTTTTAGTATTATCTCGCTGATATCAAGTTTAGGGAATGCAATACCGGGATCGCGGGATCCCGAAATCCCGCACATAAATGGAGCGGGATCCCGCGGGATTTGCGGGACTGAGGAAATTGTCGACCAAGTGGACGACTCTGTTTACTTTGTTAATGAAACGCATAACGGAGAAGTTATTTTTTATACAATTGTTAAACTTTTTTCGTTAAAAATTTACTATGATTTTTGAGGCACTTTAGAAGTTCAATTTTTGTGCTTTACGAGTGAGGTTTTTTTGACTGCACCAAAATTTCTCGGGAAAACACATGTTCTTATTAATTTTGGTGCGTAGAATCCAAAACAATTCGTACTTTTTCGATCAGACCTCTCAATCAAAAGTTATAGACTAGAAACCAATTTCGAAAAAAAATTCAAAGGGCTGTAACTTTTGAACTAGTAGCCCAATCTTGAACTGTTTGAAATTATGGATTCTACAGGCCACATTCTATAAGAAAATTTTTTTTCCGGATCGATCTGAGACAATTTTTTTTCGGGGCTCAAAAAAAGGCAGTGTATAACCTTCCTTTTTTACCAAAAATCGACTACACCAAAATTTCTCGGGAAAACACTTGTTCTTATTAATTTTGGTGCGTAGAATCCAAAACAATTCGTACTTTTTCGATCAGACTTCTCAATCAAAAGTTATAGACTAGAAACCAATTTCGAAAGAAAATTCAAAGGGCTGTAACGTTTGAACTAGTAGCCCAATCTTGGAACTGTTTGAAATTATGGATTCTACAGGCCACATTCTATAAGAAAATTTTTTTTCCGGATCGATCTGAGACAATTTTTTTTTCGGGGCTCAAAGAAGGCAGTGTATAACCTTCCTTTTTTACCAAAAATCGACTGCACCAAAATTTCTCGGGAAAACACTTTTTCTTATTAATTTTGGTGCGTAGAATCCAAAACAATTCGTACTTTTTCGATCAGACTTCTCAATCAAAAGTTATAGACTAGAAACCAATTTCGAAAGAAAATTCAAAGGGCTGTAACTTTTGAACTAGTAGCCCAATCTTGGAACTGTTTGAAATTATGGATTCTACAGGCCACATTCTATAAGAAAATTTTTTTCCGGGTCGATCTGAGACAATTTTTTTTCGGGGCTCAAAAAAAGGCAGTGTATAACCTTCCTTTTTTACCAAAAATCGACTGCACCAAAATTTCTCGGGAAAACACTTTTTCTTATTAATTTTGGTGCGTAGAATCCAAAACAATTCGTACTTTTTCGATCAGACTTCTCAATCAAAAGTTATAGACTAGAAACCAATTTCGAAAGAAAATTCAAAGGGCTGTAACTTTTGAACTAGTAGCCCAATCTTGGAACTGTTTGAAATTATGGATTCTACAGGCCACATTCTATAAGAAAAATTTTTTTCCGGGTCGATCTGAGACAATTTTTTTTCGGGGTCAAAAAAAGGCAGTGTATAACCTTCCTTTTTTTTACCAAAAAGCGACTGCACCAAAATTTCTCGGGAAAACACTTTTTCTTATTAATTTTGGTGCGTAGAACTATGATTTTTGAGGCACTTTAGAAGTTCACCTTTTTGTGCTTTACAGGTGAGGGTTTTTTTAAGTTCTAAGTTAGGCCGAAGGTACTTTTTTGTTAAATATTGTGATAATTAGCGACTTATTTTAATGCAGAAGTTAACCGCAAAGAATTGCTTAGTTGCCAATTTATTTAAAGTTTCGCGGGATCCCGCAAATACCGGGATCCCGCGGGATTAACATCTAGCAATCCCGCAAATACCGGGATTGAGATTTTGCTGCGGGATTGCATTCCCTAATCAAGTTGATATCAACCCAGCAACACATTGATTTGAAAAAAATTAAGGAATCAATGGGGGCGCTTCTGAATCGTTTCTGATACACAGCGCCACTCCGTGTGGGGTGAAAGCGTCCATATAAAACAATGTTTCGCTAACAGCGTCGCCACTCTCCAGCGCTTCAAAAACCCTCCGTGAGAAGGGGTTCTTACTATTTCAGTGTCATTAAAAAATTTGTCAGTGGGCGGGTGTTCAGTGATATTGTACACCTGAGCCGATCTCATCTCTCGAGGTGTGGAAGCTTCAGCACTTAAGGACAGTTAATTATGGTGGCATGGCCTACAGTCTCCGATCCGGCAACACGTATATGCCGAAACTGATACAGTCTTAACATCCAGATCCAGATGCAAATTCAAAAAGAACAGAAACCAGTGATCTTAATAGCAAAGAAGCCAAATTCAATTCTTGTCGACATTCCAAAGTGTTGTAGCAGCTTAAAAGGCACGTTCCACAATTTTTGGACATTTATCGTAGTTTTCGGAGGTCTGCAAGTACGAAGTACTTCAACCCCATCTAGGGCAGCGAAATTCTCATGCTCCACCTCCAGATCCAAATGTAACACAGTTGTCAGTTACACTGGATATTTTCTCTCATTTCTATAATAGCTTCATATTCCGTTTCGTCAACTCCATCATTCACCATTTGATCTGAAACCTTCTGCTCTAACTCCGCCAAGCTAATCTTTTCCTCATTTAGCGTCCTCAGGGCAAATTCTTCGGAATTGGTTCCACTTGGAATTTAGCTCAGCGATCCACTTTTTATCTCCACTCCGAACTGGGCGTGTGGATCTATGAAGGGAATCCATGGTAGGTAGGTTTCAAAAGGTAGGGGTCGCCAAATGTTATTTTTAGAATTAAAGGGTTTATCTGCGCCTGTAGGTTAACTCTCACTTATCCCGGTCATTTTAAGTGGGATAAGAACTTAATTACCACACTCAGTGGGATAAGAACTTCATTACCACACTCAGTGGGATAAGCCCTTGTCAAAACAATGTATGATCAAAAATCAACTATCAAGATTATTTATTGTAAACATTAACGTCTGATGGAATAGTTCCAGACTCACTCATGACATACGCAAAGAAATCAGAAGCAAAATTTTTGACGTACAAATTTTCTTGACGTTAGGATTTTCTTGTTTCTATGGCGTCGAAAACTGCTAACTATGCTACTTCGATTGGAATTTAAAAAAAATGCATCAAATTTATTTTTCGTTTTTAGCAGTAGAAGAACAGTCGCAGATAAAAAGTTGTATTTAATACTTGGGCTAACGGCCATTAACATACTCATGCTCTTACAATAGCTCGGGCTAACGCCCTCGTATGCGCAATTGTCGCATTCGTAAGTTAATGAGGCCGTTATCCCACTGATTAAATAAATAACTATTAACTAACCGCACTCTTATCTTTACGTAACTAAATGCAAATGATGCGGACAAGACTGAAGCTGAATTTTTATTTGACATATGACATTTTTCAGTTCCACAGCAAAAATCGCCACTCCTTTCAGCTCAATGCAATCATCAAATCCCAATCCCATATTTTCAAAGAAATTTCAACAAAAAATGTTCCCAAACTGACCGCTGCTGCTACCAGCGTCTCAACGGCAACACTATTCTGATAATTTACACATTGTGAAATCATCGGGAAGACATCTAGGTGTGACGAGTGCGGTAACGATTTTACTAAGTAAATTGCAAGCAGGATGTGAAGGAAAGGTGCAGAAAATGTGCAGGTTTGTGCCACATGCCACGGACCAGCAGAAAACAAGAAAGAACCAATGTGGGTAGTCCATCTGAAAGAATAGCCATTAATATCGGGGGCCCCTTCCCAGAGACAGCTGCTGGAAACACATACATCCTGGTGGCCATGGACTATGAGCAAATAGCATGTGCTCTAGCAGATCAGGAAGCGACAACTGTGGCTCTGGTACCCATTGAACTACACTTAGACCATGGGCGAAAGATTGGGTCAGCTCAAATCCAAAAGCTGTGCCTACTATTTGGCATTCGCACGACCAGAACCGTGACGTATGAATAGGAAAAGTACTTCTCATCAGCGTAATTGGGATCAATTCCCACAGGAGAGATCCCAGCTGTCTAGACACTTTAACAGCAACGTTAAATTTTACCAGGTGCCAAGTAAAGAGGAACAACTGACATGGCCTTTAAGGAGTAATTTGTAAAGGATAAATAAATAATTGACTTGTCTTCTGCCCGAGTTTATTTACAACATAGCTGATGTGTGAAAAGTTATTTGTTAATTAATAGCCAGTCGATCAAAACAAATCTTCAATATGTACAGTTGGATGTCAAACTTAGGAAACGTATTCTAATGTAGATTTAGGAATATAAATGACGGGATTTATAAAGTAATGATAAATGTATTGACGATTTCTGGTGGGAAATATAACAAAATGTGTAGCGATCCACTTGTTCAAACGATTGGTGAATTGTTGCATTTGTCAGTATTGCAATATTTACACTGAGTAACATTTACGTATGATTTTTCCAAATCTTTGCAGATATCGTCGCCGTCCTCTTTCTTCATCCAATAGCAACTTCTGTTGGTTATTACTTCCAATGGTTGAACCCAAGGGTCAGCTAACGAGACGGAAATACACCACGCTGTCGCATTATATGCGGATAAGTCGGCGCATGTCTCGTAGTTCTGCGACTGGCCCGATGTGCAGTCAGAATCGTATTTGTTAGTGCAATCGAAGCAATCCAGCGCTGAGACTAAATAATCATTTTGACCAAAGCTGACTATCACAGTATAATATACTTACTTGAAGCTGCATAAGATACTAGGAGGAACAACGCCAGCACAACCTTCGAAGCCATTGTGAATTCAGGTGCTATTTGTGATATCCTCGCGTAAACTGCGCCGTTGTTGTTTGTAACGAGCCTATACATACCTATTCTTCTTATCAGTGGGTAGACACCCTTTATCTACCGTTTATCGGGCTTATCAGTAGTTATCGAGCGAAACCTGATAGCGCCGCAGTCCCCTTATCTGAGGATCAATTTGGGTAACCCGGTGCGGGTCCCTACCTTGTAACTGCTTCTAGTTATGACTTAAAAATCAGCATCCCTGTCCAGCCTTGTCCAGGTACTCTTGCTTCCTGGTCCATTGCCATGTGATTACAACACCTCCATAGACCACATTCGATCAGAAAATTTTTTTTCCGGATCGATCTGAGACAATTTTTTCTTCGGGGCTCAAAAAAAGGCCTTTTTTAACAAAAATCGACTACACCGAAATTTCTCGGGAAAGCACTTTTTCTTATTAATTTTGGTGCGTAGAATCCAAAACAATTCGTACTTTTTCGATTAGACTTCTCAATCAAAAGTTATAGACTAGAAACCAATTTCGAAAAAAAATTCAAGGGGCTGTAACTTTTGAACTAGTAGCCCTATCTTGGGACTGATTGAAATTATGGATTCTACAGGCTACATTCTATAAGAAATTTTTTTTTCCGGATCGATCAGAGACAATTATTTTTTCGGGGCTCAAAAAATGCAGTGTATAACCTTCCTTTTTTACCAAAAATCGACTGCACCAAAATTTCTCGGATTTCTCGGCAAAACCACATTTTTAAACTGGTGTTATATTTGCTTTTATTCCAAGTGACTATGTATCAAATTTCATTTAAACACCTTCATAAATAAAAAAGTTTGCAATTCGGTTTATAAATGGTCGAAATGCGAAAAGAGCATTGTGAATGTTGATCGATTAGGCTCAATTTTTGGAATTGCGTTATATATGGCTAAAGCTATACGCATATTGAATTTCATGCAATTCGGTTCATAACTCACGGAGATGTCAAAAGGGCCTTCCTTATTTTTTGGGTTACATTGCCAGTTCACGAACTCCAATCTACAAATTTAAAAAAGAATCTCGTAAAGAATCCACCTACAAAATTTTATCGTAATCGCTCCATTCGTTATCGAGATTTCGTGCTAACGGACGGACAGACACCGCAAACTTATAAACTCGCTAGGCGCTCGTTAATAAATGATACATTTCTTCCATGGGGATCGTGGTCCACATTACACTGACTGGCCGCGTTACCTGCACGTTGTATGGCTATAATACTTAAATTTGTCGTAAGTAAGTGGTAGCTCGGGGTTCCCCAGTAATATTGGTAATGCGTTTTCTCAAGTATTCCACAAAATTTTCGAGCTTCTCTACACCAAGGTTCCAATGTCTCTACTGCGAAAGGTATAACAAGTTAAAAAGTAATCGTAAACGATTTACATAAAGCGCATTTCCACTTGCATTCATTTCCCATTTGTAAGATGCGACTTCTGTTAAAATCGTAGAAATCCGGCCACAAATATGAAAGATAGCGTTGCACATGTGCAATCCATTTTTGACGTGCTACTTCAATTTCAGTTTATAAGAAGAGTTTCATTTCAATCTTTTTCTAAATAAAAAAGTTGGAACTGCGCATGCGCAAACCTAAATTTTGAAGCTAACGTTAGATTTTCCTTTGTTCCAAGTGGCTATGTATCAAGTTTCATCTAAATCCCTCCATAAATAAGAAAGTTGGCACTGCGCATGCGCAAAACCAAATTTTGAAATTGGCGTTAAATTTGCTTTTATTCCAAGTGGCTATGTATCAAATTTCATTTAAATACTTTTATAATTAAAAAAGTTTGCAATTCGGTTTACAAATGGTCGAGATGCGAAAAGGGCACTGTGAATTTTAAATATATTCGACTCAAATTTTGGCATGCGTATTATATGGCTAAAGCTATGCCCATATTGAATTTCATGCAATTCAGTTCATAACTAACGGAGATGTAAAAGCGATCGAACATTTCTAAACAAAGTTATCGTTCACACGGACAGATAGATGGACAGACAGACAAAGGAACAGACGGACAGACCAACAGGCAGACGACAGATAGCAATGCAAAATTATAAACGATCTCTAGGATCGTTAATAAACGGCAAAAGTGTAAAATTATGGAACATGTAAAAAACGGTTTTTTGTTTTTTTTACAATAACTTTTTTTGTAAGCGGTACAGAAAAAATTCCTTCCTTGGTGCAAGACTCGACACCATAACGAACCAAATAGCGAAAAAAGTAGAACAATAGCTCTTAAGATAAAGGACTAGTAGCGTCGCAAAACGAGCGGACGGACGGATGGACGGACGGACGGACGGACGGACAAAGTGGCCACAATAGCGCATTTTTTTTTATTTTTGTGGAAATGCGCTAAAAATATGGTTCTGTTCTATTGAACTGTATTTCCTTATATTAATACTTGCCGCAGATTCAGCTACCGCACCACTCGTTTTACTAGAAAATTAATCCAAAATATTTCAGTGGTGTCAAGTCATAAAGCTAGGAACAAGTTAAAAAGTAATCGTAAACGATTTACATAAAGCGCATTTCCACTTGCATTCATTTCCCATTTGTAAGATGCAACTTCTGTTAAAATCGTAAAAATCCGCCCACAAATATGAAAGATAGCGTTGCACATGGGCAATCCATTGTTGACGTGCTACTTCAATTTCAGTTTATGAGAAGAATTTCATTTCAATGCTTTTCTAAATAAGAAAGTTGGAACTGCGCATGCGCAAACCTAAATTTTAAAACTAATGTTAGATTTTCCTTTGTTCCAAGCGCCTAAGTATCAAATTTCACTTAAATAGTTCCATAGATAAAAAAGTTGGCACTGCGCATTCGCAAAATAAAATTTTGAAACTAGCGCTAGATTTTCCTTTATTCCAAGTGCCTATGTATCACATTTCATTTAAATTCTTCCATAAATAAAAAAGTTGGCACTGCGCATGCGCAAAGCCAAATTTTGAAACTGGCGTTTGATTTTCCTTTATCCCAAGTGCCTATGTATCAAATTTCGTTTAAATTCTTCCATAAATAAAAAAGTTGGCACTGCGCATGCGCAAAACCAAATTTTGAAATTGGCGTTTGATTTTCCTTTATCCCAAGTGCCTATGTATCAAATTTCGTTTAAATTCTTCCATAAATAAAAAAGTTGGCACTGCGCATGCGCAAAACCAAATTTTGAAATTGGCGTTTGATTTTCCTTTATTCGAAGTGCTTATGTATCAAATTTCGTTTAAATTCTTCCATAAATAAAAAAGTTGGCACTGCGCATGCGCAAAACCAAATTTTGAAATTGGCGTTTGATTTTCCTTTATTCCAAGTGCCTATGTATCAAATTTCGTTTAAATTCTTCCATAAATAAAAAAGTTGGCACTGCGCATGCGCAAAACCAAATTTTGAAATTGGCGTTTGATTTTCCTTTATTCCAAGTGCCTATGTATCAAATTTCGTTTAAATTCTTCCATAAATAAAAAAGTTGGCACTGCGCATGCGCAAAACCAAATTTTGAAATTGGCGTTTGATTTTCCTTTATCCCAAGTGCCTATGTATCAAATTTCGTTTAAATTCTTCCATAAATAAAAAAGTTGGCACTGCGCATGCGCAAAACCAAATTTTGAAATTGGCGTTTGATTTTCCTTTATCCCAAGTGCCTATGTATCAAATTTCGTTTAAATTCTTCCATAAATAAAAAAAGTTGGCACTGCGCATGCGCAAAACCAAATTTTGAAATTGGCGTTTGATTTTCTTTTATCCCAAGTGCCTATGTATCAAATTTCGTTTAAATTCTTCCATAAATAAAAAAGTTGGCACTGCGCATGCGCAAAACCAAATTTTGAAATTGGCCTTTGATTTTCCTTTATCCCAAGTGCCTATGTATCAAATTTCGTTTAAATTCTTCCATAAATAAAAAACTTGGCACTGCGCATGCGCAAAACCAAATTTTGAAATTGGCGTTCGATTTTCCTTTATTCGAAGTGCTTA